GGTTTGCCTTGTGCAAGTTCACCAATGATGCGAGGGAAGACTGGCACTAAGGCGGAAAAATATGTTGGCATGATCGCTATAGGGTCAAAGACCTTGTGGTACCCTGATTTCATATCAAAATAGCTTGTGTCCTTGGTTGTTCATCCACGGTTTATCTGGAACTTCAATCTCAAGCTCCGAGAGCTGGCGTCACGTCTTGTGATGTCAGCTTGGCCCCCTGATGTCAAACTTCGGTTTGGAAGGCCAGAATAGGCCAGATATGAGCCTTAGGAAACATCAAACATGATGAAACGTGATGAAACATGATGAAACATGCTGAAACCCTTGTCTATTCACGTATATTCAAACAGAAACGGAAGAAACCAATGAGACCTCTGAGGTCCAATCAACATCAACACAGCCGTGACTCGGAGTGCCATCCTGAGGCCGCAGAGATCTAGATGACCTATGGAAAACACAATAGAAATTGGTCTCCGAAATGCCTAGACACTCCAAGTACCCATGAACATTGCCAGATTGATAACAACATACTTCAATTGAATTATGGGTAAAGTACTATTTTTTATGGGTACTTGGAGTCCCTGGAGGGTTTAGGATGGTTTAGGTACTTTCTGTCATCTTCCGGTTTCCACCGTATTCGGATGCCTCACCGTCGTCATCGGCTTCCTCCTAGAGGGGAGACGACGCCAAATCATGAGGCCGGTCTTCGACCCAGCTGCATTACTGTTTACACCATATTTACACCATGATTACACCATGTCCACACCATGTTCACACCATGTTCACACCATGTTCACACCATGTTCACACATGTTTACACCATGTTCACACCATGTCCCTTCAATACACTGTAAAACATCTGTGAAATATCAATCCTTGGCCCTGGAGCAGCCCTGGGAACCCCAAGGTTAGCTTTTTTTTGGAGTCCTGATTTGCTCGAGCAGCAACCAGTTGACGAATGGCATTGCTCTGGCCGCCTTTCCTCGTGCAAAAACGTTGGGTACGAAACAGCGCTGTTTTGGGTTATTGTTAACATATTAAACTATATGTATGGTTAACTTTTGGGTTATTGTTAACTATATAATGAGGTGTTGCATTCTACGGTTGATGGCAAAAGGTCAAAGTATGAGACCCATCAACATCGATCCTGTAAGTAGGATCGAACAGAACCTGTTCGTTGAAAGTATGTCTTGACATTAGACGAACATATTTTGCAACTAGAGATCTTTACGTTGACTCTGCCAAATGCAACAAACGCTTCCTTGTTGGTGGTTGAACCACCTTTACCAAGCATGTGAAAGTCCAAAATTGGGACAATCATTCTATAGTACATACCGCCAAAATAGAAGATATTCAGCTACCATTTTTGTACCCCATCTTCTATGTTTCTTGTTTTCGGAAAGGCGTTTTTGGAAGAATAACATAGAAGATACTATGTCAAAATAGGGCCAAAACCGGGGTCGGAAAGGATTTTGGAGCCCGCTTGGAGGACCTTGCTGCGGATCCATTTTTTGATCTTCTATCTTTCCGGTAATTTTTGACCCCCATCTTCTATCTTTCTTTCATCTTCTATCTTTCCGGTCCGGGGCATTATCTGCAGCCAAGACAAAATGGAAAATGTCAGTTTCAGGGCTATTTAGTATCTGCTGCTGCTGCCTGGCTGGCTGGCTGCCTGCCTGCCTGCCTGGCCGGCTCGCTGGCTGGCTGGGTGCTGCTGATGGCTGCTGATGGCTGCTGATGGCTGCTGCCGCTGCTGCTGCTGCTGCCATGGCCATTTCTGCCAGACCGATCAAATAGAAGATATTCAGTGAATTAATTTCCATGGCTGATACCCCTCCCAATTAATTATTGAGTATCTTCTATTTTGTCGGCCAATTTGTACACCAATATCTTCTATTTGGTCGGTTTTTTTCAACCTGGTTTGTGGCTAACATCACGCCCAGAAAAAACAAAAAAACTGAGGTTTTTTGCGTTTTTTTCAGAAGAAGTCCAAAAAAGGGTCCGTCGCAGATGGTCCTCCTCCGGGGGAGGACCTCTGTGCGGATTTGATTTTTTCTAGTATCTTCTATTTGACCTGGAAATGTGAAAACACTGCAAGTACCAGTGTTTCAGTGCCCTGGTATGTCAGAAGGTCTGTGGGTTAAAACTTAAAAAAGGACACTAAATAACCCTCGAGACCGGCTCTTGGAGGACCCTTTGCGACAAGGAGTATCTTCTATCTGTTTTGTAGATTTTACACCCCCAATTTTGCATCTTCTATGTTTCTTTACTATTTAATATCTTCTATTATGGCGGTATGTACTATAAAAAGGACGGAAGAGAAACATTGTAAAACAACCCAGCAGTTTCAATCATTATACCCAGTCTAATTCCTTTGGTTGTGGCTCTTGAAAGGAATCAGTGAAGCTATTGGGTCATCCAAAGTACAAACAAAACTGCTTTGACTTCCAACATGACAATTAAAAAAAGCCAAACAAAATTAGCAAGCGAGAGAAAAACATGTTGCACCTACTGTAGATCTATGCAACTGCAGCCGACCAAGTCATATCTAAAGTCGCAAACACACTGATTCAATGTCCTGAGCACATGCTAGGACTTGCTTAAGAAGCACCCCAACATTAAAAAGTATTCCCCCAGCAAGTAGTGGATTTCACATTGGGAAAATGGGAAAGTAAAACATCACCTTAAACAAAACCAAGCATGTACAGCATGTAAACAAGGGGATCACCATTCTGAATCATCCTGCAATCCAAGGGATTTAGCAGAAATGCTGTGGAACCCTGCCATCGATCGAAAGGGTTTTTTAATAGCATGTCTTACATGCTCCATGATGTTTACCGGTTTTCAGGTTTTCAACTTTTCAGTGCTTTCGGGTAAATTACGCCAAATCTGCACCGCGCAACGACATAGTTAAACAGTTTTTTGGGCCCAAAACGTAGAATTGGGTGACCACATTTGACCACATGGGAACAGCGTAACATTTTGTCAAACATGCAAATGATCATGATGTTGGTCCAAACATGATGTCAACATGTTCACGTTAATCATCGCAAACCCAATCATGGATAAAGCCACACAATTTCCCATCGCCGATGAGAATCCTCTTTCAAACCCATGTGTTTTGGGTGCCATCTGAAATTTCAATCCCAAATGCTCCATATATGAGGCATATTTACTGACCCCCCAAACATCTCCCAAATGTAGGTATATAAACATTCCATACATGACATGGAACATTTCCATAGCGTTTCTCAGGTCATTCCCCAAACCAAGGCGCTCGAAAGCATCTGCCATGTACCTCACGGACTTGAGGAAACCCCCAACCCGAGCCGGGTATAAGTCAAGTCACAGGGCTACTCTCCCAGAAGAGGCTGGTAGTTCTTAGGACGTCGGATGGAACATTCATTTTTTCATTTATTTGGGCGGTCAGAATTAAAGACCTGGTGGATCACAGATTTATGTACGTCTATTTTAATTGTGAACCATCCAATCATTGGGGTACTCATTTTTGACCCATACCCATTTGGCCATCTGACATGATAAACTAATACTACTGCTGCTTCAAACGAGATGTGTTCCAAATTGTATGTCATCCTTCTATTCTGGTTGGTTGATAATTGAGCCACAGAAAATACCACTACCCCATCTCGTGATACTAGTTGGCTGATAGGTTTCCTATTATCGATTATCATAATCCCCAGTAAATTAGATAGTATATGTCCCTAGTTCGTAACCAATCAAGCGGGGTAGTTCTAATGACTCAATTAGAGGTTCCCATTGGTCGTCTTCATCCACAAAAAGATTCCTTGGGTTGTCTTTAGTGCCAGCGGCCATGGAGATGTTCTTCGCCAAATCATCCTGTAAATGGTTCCTCCAAGGTTGCTGATGCATACAGAACATATAAGGTATATACACATGTCATTGTATACATTATATTAATATATAGCTATTGTATATGTTCTCTCGTATACATATCCATGATCTTTTGTTTAGACCAAATGTGTTTTCACCAGGAACAACTGGATGCCAAGAAGCTCTTTCTGCCACTTCGCCTCGGTCGTCCACGGTTGTACAGTGCATTCATAAGGTACAAAACGTGATGTACATATGATGTATATATATATAAATATGTGTGCCACATGTCACAATATCTGCAAATGTTATAGATAGATAGATAGATAGATAGATAGATAGATAGATTGATTGATAGATAGATAGAGAGAGATAGATAGATAGATAGATAGGTAGATAGATAGGTAGATAGATAGGTAGATAGATAGATAGATAGATAGATAGGTAGATAGATAGATAGACAGATAGACAGATAGAACGATAGATGGATGGATAGGTAGATAGATAAGATACATTAGATAGATTAGATAGATTAGATAGATTAGAAAGAAAGAAAGAAAGAAAGAAAGATATATAGATAGAAAGATAGGTAGATAGGATGGATGGATAGATAGATAGATAGACAGATAGATAGATAGATTAGATAGATAGATAAGATAAGATAAGATAAGATAAGATAAGATACGATAAGATAATATAAGATAAGATAAGATAGATAGATAGATAGATAGATAGGATAGGATAAGATAATATAAGATAAGATACGTTTAGGTAAGATAGATAAATATATAGATACATAGATAGATTGATAGACAGATAGCTAGATAGATAAATAGATAGATAGATTGACAGATTGAATAGATTAGAGAGATAGATTGAATAGATTTAGATATATTAGATATATTAGATATATTAGATAGATTAGAGAGACTAGGTAGATGAGATAGATTAGATAGATGAGATAGATTAGATAGATTAAATAGATAAGATAGATACTATAGAAAAGATATATAGATAGATACATAGATAAATAGATAGATAGATAGATTGATTGATTGATTGATTGAATAGATTGAAAAGATTGAAAAGATTGAATAGATTGAATAGATTGAATAAATGGAACAGATTGAACAGATTGAACAGATTGA